AAGTGAAAATGAAATACGGCAATGGTCTGACTCATTCTGATGCGCATGATTTGAGATTTCCTTCACATTGCTGTTGTGGAGAAAGTTAATATAATATGGGTGGGTGGCAGGTGCTCTGGTGTGGTTTGCTTCTTCTTTCCTATCAAAACATCCATCGTCCTTATCTCCCCTCCTTTTTTTAATGTTTGTTACTCTAGTGTAACACCAGAGAGTTTACAGTAATATATTACTGTAAACCCTCTCTGGTAACACCTCTAATCTTCTGGCGCTCATATGACCTTATGCAGTTGCGAGCGCCGTAAAACTTCTACTAAAACTAAACTAAAAGTTAATTTAATTGGTCATGTATCACAGACGGTAGTAACATAGGGATGCCCGGAAACTCGAGTGTGGGTGGTTGGCGGGTGCTGTGGTGTGGTTTGCTTTTTCTTCTTTCCTTTCAAACACCCATCGTCCTTATCTCCCCTTCTTCTTTTTGAGGGTTTGTTACTCTCTTGTAACACCTCTTATCTTCTGGCGCTTATATGACTTTATGCTGTTGTGAGCGCCGTAAAACCTCTACTAAAACTAAAACGAAACTCGAGTGTCAGGACAGTTTGGTGTGGTTTGTTTTTGTCACTATGCAAAGCTGTCCGTGCTCTTTTTCCTTTCTTTTTTTCTTTCTGTGTGTGTGCGTGTGTTTGTTTTGTCTTGTGTCACAGGTGTAATTTCAAGGTCTGTCTTACTTTAAAGCGCCCTCCACCCACCCACCTTAAATTTAATATGTCATTAGTGTGAGGGTTGTTGGCAGGTGCTCTTGTGTGGTTTGCTCCTTCTTTCCTATCGAATATCTGTCTTCCTTATCTCTCCTCCTTTTTTGTGTTTGTTACTATCTTGTAACACCCCTATTCTTCGGCACTTATAGGACCATATTGTGTTGCAAATGCCGTAAAACTCTTACTAAAACTAAACGAAACTAAAAGTCATTAGTGGTATATATATTTATAGCAGGTGCAAGTGATTATCTTTTATCTTTATGTGTTCTTGTTCACTCCTTTGTTTGAAATCCCGATTACAATAGATGTCCCAATTTCATGTGATTGTTTTATCAGCTCTGTATGTCAGTCAGTTTCTCTGTGTAGTTCTCTTCGACAGGCATGTGACTCAACAGTAACACTCCTCTACCACACTATGTATTGTGTCTGTTTCACTCTGACTATAAATCTGCCCGTCTCTAACTCTTTGTCTTCTTCATCTCTATCGCACCATTCTTGAATTGAAAATATCTTTTTTTGTAATGGTTACCTTTGTTTTTACTTATTCAATAGGCTTTTGGTTTGTCTTTTTTTGCTCACTGTCAAGTCAAAATTCTTATAAATAACTTATTATTCATATGGTGTTGTCCCGTCCCTTGTGGGTGTTTTAGATGAGTTATCGTCTTGTTGGAGCTTGATGTGATTTTTTCTGCAGGTGTTCTATGACCTGCTCCGTATGATAGGCAAATACAAGCTAAGTCCTTCAGGGCGCAAGGCAATTAGCCAACAAGCCGCACTAGCTCCAAAAGTGAAAGCCACCAAGTCTGAAACAACAACTGGATGTAGCTGTGTCTTGCTGTAGTTACCACTGTTCAGGTTACTTCCACCCCCCTGTTACAAATAATGGTACATACTTTTTGACAGATGACTTGATGCCCTGCTTCTTACTTTCCCCTCACTTCAGCCCATCCCAACAACACAACACCTCCCTTTTGTTTTACCCATAGTTTTTTTGGATTGCCGCCCTTCCTTGCTCTAAAGAAGTTCCATTTGAAGAGAATGTATTAAGTTGACAAAATTGCTTTAAACAAGGCAAACATTTCCCTCCCTCTCACTGACTGCCTCAACACCATGTTCCTTGTTTCACCCAACTGCCTGAATTCGTACCCTTCCTATTTGTACTTTGGGGTCATAAGAACACTTATATATATATGTGTGTATTTATGTATAAATAGAAAATATGAGAAAAATTGTTGGACAGGAACAAATCAGATGGTCTACTAATTCCCTGCATCCTTGTTCCACTCATAATTGTTTGAGTAAGACCTTGCCCAGCATTTTAGGCATGCTCCATTCCTGTTTTGGCTTTCTACAAGTGCTGATAATAAGTAATGGTGTAGTTGAATAAGAGACATTTTCTTCCACACTACCACCCACCCTCCAGACCACCCACCACACTCCTCCCCATTCTCCTCCCCCCCCCCTTTTATTTTCTCAATCACTACCCTTCTTAACACAATATCGAGATTATGGAAGAATATTTGAAAGGTTCCTTTAAGAAGAGTAATTTTACACAACCAGAATTGAGAAGTGGCAATTGGTAGAGGTATATAAACATAATTGTAATTTGGACACGTTGATTTCATGAACATTTTGTTTCCCTTGGGAAGTCATATTGTCAATGTTAATTTGTTAATTTGGATGACTTCCTCGGCATGTGACCTTTCAGAAGAATAACAGTATGTTTGATATAGCAAATTTAGGTCCCTCCAAGATGCGGTTCATACTCTAGCGAAATTTGTTTGATAATAATAAATGAAGAAACACGATTGTCAATGGTTTTTATGAGAACTTTTGTGTTTTCACAATGTTGCAGATACTGATGTTCATAATGGCAGAAGCATATTGCACCATTTTCTCTAAGAACCAAAACGGTCCCTTCCCAATGCTGTCCTAAGCTGAATGCCTATCATTTTAGGCGCCAAATTTTTTTATTTGCTGAATCGTTCGATAGCTTGATCGGTTACCCTACTTGTGTGAAAAGGTCAAAGTGTATCTGTGATTACTTTTTTCATAGATTAGAAATCAAATTTAGGAAGAACGCCTTTTTAAAATGGTGTCGCTGACGAAGTGCTTTTTTTATCTCGAAACTACTGTGAATAGGAAAAAGGCGTTTTGTCAGCGTACGACAGAATTGTTTGAGATCCTCTTTCCCGAACTGACAGTACTCACTGTTCCTATGTGGTAACATGATAACCAATGTGAGACTGGAAGGAAGATTGATAATGTGTATTGTAGTTTTTATTGGGTAGGCAATTTGTTTGCCCTCTTTCTTCATCCTCTTCAATTGTTTTTTTTATATTTGGCTCAGTTTTCTCTTTGCTCATTTCAGAATCGTTCTTTTTTTTAAAGAGTTGATGATTTCTTGCAAGCTGTATATCCTAGTTGTGTAGTCTTACATGTTTTCAATGAAATCTGGGTAATACTGGAGTTTCTCGATTATTTTATCATCATATGAACATTGAGCCATTGGTTTGTGCCCTTGTTCCTGCACAAATTGCAAACGTCAATTTTCTAGAATAGGAAGGCATAATATTTTGTTTTTTACCTGAACTTGCTATGCAGATTGTCTCTAAAATATACATGGTATACTTTTTCAAAATTCTCTTCAAGGTTTATGTCTGCCTGATAATAATTTAATGAAATGGAAAATGTGTCTCCCTTGTGCCAGCCCCCATTTTCTCTCTCTCTGTCTCTGTCTGTCTGTGTGTGTCTCTCTCTCTCTCTTTCTCTCTCTGTCTTTCTTTCTCTCTCACCATTTCCTTTGTAATGGGGAAGCCTTTCGATACCAGTTTTGTCAGTCATGCTGAGTTAATTAAATATTAAAGACATGTTTTTAAATGTTTTAAAATATAAACTAATGCTACTATACTTTTTCCTTACTAAAGCCTTTGGCTTTTTACTGATTGAAAAAAAGTATGTTGTTTTTGTAACAAATCAATTAAAATATGATGCGACAGTTATATCTTCCTTTGTCACAGGTGTTATTTTCCCCCATGCATTTCATCCGCGTTCTGGCTAGCTCTGGCTGTGCCTAGTACATCAATATTCACAGCAGCTGTTTCTATGCATTGCCTTCAGGCTTACACATTGTAAATATTTTCAAGAACAGTTATGTTACATGGACATATTTGAGTACTTGTATCAGACCTGTGGTCTCTTCTGTTTTTCTACTTTTTCATTTACATGCATTTGAAAACTTGCTAGAGGGGCAATGAATTCTGTCTTTCCCTACAGAAAATACAGAGATTCTTTGTTCCATCCTTTTCTCCCCAACCCACTCCAGTTGTACCCCACACTTTATCTCTACCCCATGACAATGTTCAGTTTTTGTCAAAATTTCAAGCGATATCCCAGACTCAGTCGCTTCTACCAGTGACTGTTATGATTTTGACCATCCTCCCACACCCTGAAGTTTTTATGAAAATATTACTTAATCATCTAGCTCTCAAAATTACATGCACACAATATTTGTTTCATTTTTACCCAGTTGATTAAGTCTTGCAATATTTCACTTGTATAGGGTGATGTGAGTGATGTAAAATAGTTGAGGGGTACATGAGTAGATCTGTGTGTACATGTTTTCAGCAAGTATAAGTGTGTAGTCACCCATGCTCTCATAGTGCCTAAAGTCTTTAAGAGTAAAGATTTCTCTTATGGCTGTCCACTACTCATGATATGTTAAGGATGGCCTGTGATCTTAAACTGTATGAGACAGGAGCCAACATCTATCTCTCTCTCTATTATATATATATGTGTTTGTGTGTGTGTGTGTATGTGTTATGTACCTCTTCTTGTATGAAGTGATGTGTGTGAATTGAAAGTGATACATTTCATTAAGCACATATACATAATGAAAAGACTAATAAACATTACTGAAAAGTTTCTCTGTCTTTTCACATGTACATGGATACAAATTTTGTCTCAGCATGGCTGGAAAAAATTTTCATTTGAAATATTATCTTGCGTTTTTTGTAAAATCAAATGTTACATATTATTTTCAATATCACATGTATTGTCTTAAGTATTGAACAGATTGTTTTTCTTTTGGTGTGTTGATAAAATTTGTCTTAAATAAACACTACTAGAAGTAAATTTATTTGAAACGTACCTAAAGACATTTTAAGCCGCTCTTCTAAACCTGATTTGTCATTCATGACATCTTGTACTCACTAATAATCATTTTCTTTATTTTTCTATTTGCAGGTTTTCTATGACTTAATGAGAGAGATCCGCTCAAGGAAGATGGAAGCCAGCAGACAGAACAATGGCAAGCAAAAGAAGAAAAAGGACAGTCGAAAGAAAAAGTGTGTCATTCTATAGAATAAATGTTGGTCTGGTGGCCACAGGTTTCCTCACCCAAGTCATTTCGACCCATGTTTTTAGAATGCTTTTCTCTATCTCGTTGCTTTTTTTTTCCCCCCCCCCCCTTTTTTAAAATAGAAATTATATCCCACACTTGTTTGTAATTGTAAAGTTTCCAACACATTAATTTTGATCAATATTGGCCTTTAGCAGTACACCTCAGACAAATCAAAATTTGCATTGGTAAATAACCCACAATTTTGTTAGTGCTTGTGTCATGTTTTGCAATGCCTGTAGAAATATTTATAATTTGTAAAGAGATAACCCTGACCTCACCTGTAAGTAAAACATTTCACTAGTTTTATGTTCAGAAGGCTACAATTTTTTGCTTTGCATCTTTGGACTGACTGAAGGTTGTTTGTTAGGGACGTTATAGCTTCAGCCTACCTCAAGGTGACTTGGGGACCTGTGATGGGGGAGTAATTGCGTGACATCACGTGTAGTTCTCTGTAAACTATGTCTTGTTTGCTCTGTTTGTATTTTCATTTCTCTGTGACATCAGGTGGGTCTCCCTTTGTAACATGTTTCAAACATGCTCTTATATATGTATATTATATATATATATATATATATGAATATATATACATGTGATTGTATTAACTGTGAGCACTGCAGCAGCACCCTTCATCATTATTTTGTCACTGGAAATGTGCATTTATTGTTTTTGTTTTTATTATTATTATTATTATTATTATTATTATTATTATTATATTATTATTATTATTATTATTATAATGATTATGTTTACCATGAGTAATAAGTACACCAATATGGAGTATACAGCAACAATGACAGTGACGTATAACTGTGGGTGGTGGATATGCAGATTGCTGAGCATGCCAGAAGAAACCTGAGTTGGTGCCAAAAACAAAAGGCTTGATTTTGAGAGAACTTTCAAAAAGAATGTCATTGTTATGACGTTTTGCTTGAGAACTTTCTTTCTCAAAGAAGTGGTGAGGTTTTGCGACGGCTGGTGAGAGCTGCAAAAGTAGATGAGATTTTTTTAGATTATAGCTAGAGCTGGTGTAAATGTTTTGTTACCGTATGTACAAAATGGTGAGCATTTTTTTGTTTGTATTTTCTTGATAAGTGCCTTTGTTTATTTTCTCTCAGTTGTATTTTTTATTGTTTCCTCTTTCAAGAACAGAATTTAAAAGTTTCTTATTCCTTACAAAAGGTGCAGTTTTTGAAAAAAATCTTCTTTTTTGTCTCAAACCGGCGTATTTTGCTGTGGGAGAAAATCTTCCAAGAGTGAACGGTTTTCTCTCCAAAGCACATCTGTTTGAGGGAGGAAAAAAAAAAAGAGAACAAATGTATTCATGAGTGCCAGTGTTTGGTTTGTTTTTGTTGACTTGCAGTGTACCACCCTGCTAGGAGTCCAGACTGCTCATGGTTGCCATAGTAAGTGTGGGATATGCTTTTCTTTATGATTCAGACTGCATTTCCATGGATGTAGCTGTGGTTGCCAAAGAATCATTTTAGATTGGGCCTTGTTGCTGTTTTTGTTTTCTCAGTATTGTTTCGTGCTTTTCCTGGCACCCATGATTGCATTTTGTCATCATCTAGTTTATTGTGCTTGTTTGGGTTTTTTCTTAAGCTGTTTTTAATGATAGTAACCATTCATCCTAGCCTGTAAAAGAAGTTACCTACAAGGAATTGGGTTTTTTTTTTTTTTTTTTTTTTTTTTTTTTTTTTAGCAAGCACTAACTGTATAAATTCAGTACCACGTACATGCTGCCTGTCTTTTTGAGCTTGAAATGGGCAAAGTTAAACGTACGGTACGTAATTCTCATGGATATATATGGTCTTTGTGAAGCGGTATTACTTATTAATTCAAAGCATTAATAATGTCCTTGAATGTGCTTGACCAAATGAAATCCGTTTTGCTGCTCAATGATTGTAAGGACGGAGGTGATTGATTGTTGTGAGTGAAGTGAGGTCCAGCAGACACTCTTGACCATCTATCCCACTTCACCGAGCTAATGTATGCATCTGTTTTGTGCAAGTGTGTGTATTAAGCCAGTACAACCATGTCAGACTTCACTTTGCATTGATTTTCTAATGCTTGAAAAACACAGTATTGTGATTTTTTAATGTATTGGCTTACTGTGTGCACATAAATCGTTTCCGTGCTCATGGTGTTGGTGTTAGCTTGTGCGATTTTGCTTACAAATTTCAGGTTAAGCATACTGTCTCTTGCCTTACTCTCTATGTTTAAGCCATACACAATTGTTTTTGTGCGTTTAAGTCTGTGTGTTTCAAGAAGAAAATTGATTTTGTACTGAGTGTGAATGCGACTTGAGTCTAAATACGGTCCCACTGAAGTTTTTAAAATGCTCGATGTTTTGTGTTATTAATATTGATGGATTTCTCAGAAGTGACCTCGACACATTTTGGGGTTAATATGCAACCTCCTGCCATCGCGTGCACACACAAACACTCACCAACCCCCTTCCCCCCCTCTTTTTCTACCGTGATGTGACACAAGTTATGTGAAAGGCACATTTTGTGCTTATGTGTACTATGATGATATCTCCAATGTACGAATGTATGCCTTCTGTGTTTGCTTGACAGATTCATTTGGGTATGTGGATTGGTGGGTTATTTTCTTAAATTGTTGTTCAAGGAAATGGTGGTAGCTGCTATTATTATTAGCTCAAAAATCTAGTTTGATTTGCATTTTGTTGTTACTGTTGGATTGAATATTTTGGCGACAGTGGCATTCTTCTGAGCTGGATACAAGGCCCAGTATTGAAAACACATTTGTTTTATTGCTTTGAGTTTGAGTATGGATTTTACCATCTGTATAAGAAACAGTACCGGCACAGAGAACTCATATCGTGTGACTTCCGGTAAGTGTCCGACACTGCTTCTTTTCAGGGCCGTGATGGCTGGTAGTAAAAAAACAAAAAAACATATAATTTATATGAGTGCGAACAAACTGTAATTCATGTTTTTTTTTGTGGTGTGTGTTTGTCTGTTTTACTTGTGTCTAAATGCCAACATTTCTTGTTTGCTGGAACCTCTCTTGTTGAACCAGCACTGTTAAAACAAATCCATTGGTGATAATAGAAGTGTTCCCGTTGGAAGTATCAAGTTACGAGAACCTCCTCATTTGGCCCCCTAACAAGGTGTCAGTAAGCTTGTTGGTTAGTTGTATATAAATGTTGGACTCCAGGGACAGCTAATCTGATAGTGTGGAATCCTCTCCAACTCCAGTTTAATGTGAATAGAGCAGTGTTTTTATCCTGTCTCCCTTTTGTAAATGGGCAGATGGGATAAAAGTTTCCAAAATGTTGACACAAGCTTTATATGGGTGTCGCACGTCATTTGTTGTGCAGTCAGGACTTTTGGTGACTCTTGTGGTGTAACATATAAGTGAATATTTTAGATCATGTGTTATTTATAATACTTTCCAAGTATATGGCATTGACATCATTAGTTTTTAATTCCCAAGAGTGTTTTGTTGGTTACATTGAATGAAACATGGGACCATGCTTAAGTTTAGACTGCTAGTATAATAGTAGTGTAGTAGTACACAGGTCTTTTATTTCTCCTGATACTGTTTGTTTTACCAAAGTTTCTAGATATTGTGCTAAAGTTTCATATTCGTTATTTGTTCCAGAGAACTTTTCCATTGTGTCAAGTTTTGGGGAACTGAAATCATGTGTGAAAAAGTACATTTTCTTTTTTAGTGGTAGTAGTTTGGTTTGAACCTCAATGAAGTTACACTGGGGAAAAAGAGGGGGACTTCAAGCCTCACGGAGGGATTTTCTCTTTAAAATATATCATCGATTGAAAACTTTTTGGGACTGCATACACTTTTCGTTCTTCTGCTTGAGAACAATCTGTTCTGTGCTACCATACCCTTTCACTCGGTGAAACCTCTTGCACATTTTGTTGTCAAATCTATGATGAATACCACAAGGATACAACAGCCAAGGTCTCGCATTCATTTCTTTCACACCAACTTTATTTGGAGAACTCTGAGGAGTTTGTTTTGTTTTTTTGTAGTTTTTTTTTTAATTCAAGAACTTGGGTTCTTTTATGCAGATTTTAGAAAATGTCGCCAGTAGCCACTATTTTATGTTCTGGAATAAGGGCGAGATGATACTCTTCAGCATGGGAAGGGATTTAAGCCTTTGTTCTGGAAGTGTGCATGAAATTAGTAGTTCTGTTGTATAACTCTTTGATCAATGTCATTTGAGGAAAAAACATTGCAGTATTTTGTTTCATATTACATTTTTTTCCTGTTCATTTTATGTTTTTATCAGTAAGAAATTTCGGTTATTAAAGCATGTGCACTGGGTTGCGAGAAAATAAACCGTTTTTAGTCATTTTTCTAATGGAAAATAGACTTAATTAAGTCATTGCTGCTGTTTATTTTCAATGGCAACTCGTAAGCCAATAAGTTTACACCGTTTCCATACCTTGTATGCTCGCTACTGATCAATAATAATATGTCTCTTGCTCTGTTTGTCAGTCTGTCTGTCTGTCTCTCTCACACTCTCTCGTATTTCTCTCAAACGAGTGCACACACACACACTCACACACACTATTTTACCTTTAAAAATATAAAAGTACGTAGCATTGCGTTGTTTGTCCTTGGGAACATGAGAGCTCTGCATGTATTTCAGACTTTCATAATGTTCTGATCTGCCTCGGATTCACACTGTTTGGCTGTGACTACTTCTGGTTCTTCAATTGTTGGAAAAGAAGAAAAAGTTTGACACCAAAAACAAACAAAAAGAGAAATTTTGATACTTATTTTTTTTTTTTTAAAACGATTTTAATGAATAATCTCAGAAGTTTCCCTGTTAATGTGATTTTTCACAATAGCCACAGGGTAGTGCTTGATAGTTCGAAAGTGCAATGTGTTTGTCATTCTCTCTGCTCATTATACTGGTGCATACAAGTAACTTCATTCTGATAAAAGTATGTGAAAACTTTGTATATTCTGTCACGTCAATGAGCTCGTACGTGTTGAGTGCAATAGAAAATATTCACAAAAATTACATTGTAACAGAAATGCACTAAGTATGCTTACTGTAGTAAACAGTTGTATCAATTTCATCGCTTCTTTACCTCTTAACCTGTTTTGTTGTACTTATTTACTTTATGTACGATACATATAATTGAAAAGGAAATAAAACTGATCAGTTTTTATTTGGTTTGGACTTACTGTTGGTGCAATTTTTGTTTTGAGAAGAGAGTGGTTCTTCAATGTTTTGCTTGAGATTTTGTTCTATTATT